AATATGGTTGTGTATACGTCTTAAAATCCCTGAGAAACATTGGACATTACTTGAGAAATCATGCTAATGTTGCAGAATGTGTGCGAAAATTTGCAAGAGATTTTGGAAGAGAAGCACCATCCGCTCTATATGTAAACAAGAAAAATTTCCGCATTTGGGACACAGAAACTCCTCAAAAGTAGTCATTGTTTGGTGCGGACTTTGGTCCAGTGAAATCATAGGGCCATTTCTCTACGAACATGAGAAAGGAGTGGCCTTTACGTTATCGGGTCATGTTGAACGGATGTTTTTTCACAAAAATTTAAGAGGTGGACATTGACAACATTTGGTTTCAACAGCGCTACATGCCACACAGGCGAAGTTGTAGATGAGCGGAACAAGGTCGTGACCAACAACGACGACTGAAGCATTGAAAAGCTCCTCTCTGCATTCGAAATGAGAGAATATGGCTTTTAGATGAAAGAGCAGAAGAGAGCATAAACTCTCTCCCACAATTCGAATTGGGAGAATGTGTCTCCTAAACTAGAGTCAGAGACAATTTCCCCATTGAGTTCGATTGCAAGGAATGCTGGGGAAGGGGAACCATGTATTGAGCATATACTTTGGCGTAACCAAAATATCGAACTTTTACAGAGTTGGAATATTTTTTGCGGGGTGCCGGCAAAGATAAGTGTTACATAGACAATACAGAGACAATTGAAGCTTTAAAGAACAATATTAGTGAAGTCATTGGTAAAATACAGCTGTACACAGACGATAAAGGGCTTTAAAATTTGACCCATGGTATAGGTTACTGCATGACCAGCCAAATTAGCATTTTTTATTTTTGGTTTTAAACTTACTAATTCTAATATTTCTCAAAAAAAAAAAAAAAAAAAAAATGGCGTCCCCTTTACGAAATGGTTTATCATAAAATTTTCAACTCCAAAAAAATGTTAAAACCTCGAAACAGATTAATACGAATATTAATACGAATTTTTAAAAAAAGTTTTGATGATGGGTTCAGGTGCCCCTTCTATTTAGGTTCATTTGCGATTAGCTCTACTATTTTTAGCTCAACTTTTATAATTTTCTGGGTTTGTTCCGTAATTATTTTTTGTGGTGCACAGTTTTATATAAAAATATATATTTTTATATTCTTTGGACAACCTTTAGTGAAATAGGAAAATTGTTGTATGTGACGTCATCTCCCTAAAATGATTTTTTGTAGTTTATGCAATCTCTGATGGCGTGCGATGTTAACCCTAAATCGTGAGATTTATTTTCGAGGTTTTAACATTTTTTTGGAGTTGAAACCTATAGTAAAATTTTATGATAAACCATTTCGTAAAGGGGACGCCAATTTTTTTTTTTTTTAGTGTTAACATAAAAATAATTACGGAACAAACCCAGAAAATTATAAAAGTTGAGCTAAAAATAGTAGAGCTAATCGCAAATGAACCTAAATAGAAGGGGCACCTGAACCCATCATCAAAACTTTTTTTAAAAATTCGTATTAATATTCCCCAGAATCCGGTCAGTCTCTTCGTCAATATTACAAATAACAATTCGAGGATTATCTTGATCAGAAGCTCTAAGCCTCAAGCGAGCTGACAAAGGGGTTTATTTTATATAAACGCCCAGACAAGAAAGCTGAAATAGAATGTTGAACTTTTTTGGAAATACATACTAAAAGGATACGAAAAGTACAAAACGGACAAACGGAATGGACCAGAAGTGTGCAATTTAGAATGAGAGTTACTGATGGAGTGCAGGATAAATACACCAAAGGGTTTTTGGAAACTCAAACTTTAAGGTTACGGAAATTTCAAAATGGTACCACTTGGTATTATGTGAACGGATAGAGCTAAAAACTTGACATTGGTATAATAATCGTGGTTGGAAAGTAAGTTTGATATATGAAGATGTCCTTTAAAAATGTGTTCAAAACATGCGAACTGTACTAAATGGTCCAAATTGTTTAACAAGCTCATTTAGGGTGAAAGGATAAAACTGGAATTTTGAAAATTTGTATTGGGGTCCCTGTTGAGAGTAGGTTTATGATAAAGATGAGGTTTTGAAAATGTGTACCACAAGTTTATGAAAATACCTAAATAGTACTATAATTGGTACAATTTGGTATTGGGCGAAGTGATAGTGCTCCTGGACATATGGAGGTGGTTTCAGAAATTTGTACTAAAATTGTAGGTGTCTTGGGTGAAGGAATAGAGCTGAAATACGGAAATTTGACCATCAGAGACCTGATGGTGGTACGAAAAGTAATGTACTATGATACTTTATTTGATATTGGGTAAAGGGATAGGATAAAATTCTGAAATTTGATGTTTAGATTACTAATGGTATCTGAGTTTGAGATTTGGTGGTGCTTTGGAAATGAGTCCAATATTTGTACGGAAACTACTAAATGATACGAAATTTGGCATTGAGTGAAAGGATAGGACCGAAAACGTCAAATTTGGTACAGAAATCACTATTAGTGTCTGTTCATAAGATATGGAGGTGGTTTCGGAAATGTGTCCTATAATTATTCGAAAAGTGATAAGTGGTACTAAATTGGGTATTTGACGAAGGGATAGAGCTGGGCTCCTAAAATTTAATATTGAGATGGTTTTGGACCAAAAACGTCAAATTTGGTATAGAAGTCACTATTGGCGTCTGTTCATAAGATATGGAGGTGGTTTCGGAAATGTGTACTATAATTATTCGAAAAGTGGTAAATTGTACTAAATTGCGTATTTGACGATAGGATAGAGCAGGGCTCATAAAATTTAATATTGAAGTCTCTGTTGATATCTGGGGTTGAGATATGAGAATGGTTGTGGAAATGTATAGTTCGAAAAGTACTAAGTGATACATAACTGCGCATTGGGTGAAGGAATAGAGCTGAAATCTTGAAATTTGAAAAGTACTTAAACTTTAGATGTATGACGTCAAAGACAATATTATTCTATATCAAATTTTACTAAAAGTTGCCAAAGAAATAAAATCTATAGTTCCATTATATGCCAAGAAAATACAGGGTGAGATGAAATAACTGCAACCAACTTCAGACTGCTGTCATTTCTAAGCCACTCGTACGCCAGCTGTTAAAATTATTCCAGTGACAGCTCATTATATTGTTTACAAGCGTACAAAGGCATTTTGGTGAGAATTATCCAGAATAAAAGTTATTCATGACGGAATTCAAGCGTGATAGTCTGATTTCTTCATATTTGGCTGGAAAACCACAAGTGGCTATAGTTAGAGCACTCTAGCATTTAAATGTGAATAAATCTTTTGTATCTCGTACCATCGCTCGTTACCGTGATACTGGTAGCGTAGCCCGACGTCAAGGAAGTGCACAGAAGAAAATTGCAACATCAGCAGAAATGGTTCGAAAAGAAACGAAGCGACTTGATCGAAACCCGCGTCGCAGTGGCCAAAAAATGGCTCGTGAGCTGAACATATCGCAATATTCCATTCGGGAAATATTGAAAAATGAGCCCGGGTATAAATCCATTGAAATTCCAAAAAGTGCAAGAACTTACACCGCAACAGAAAGAAAATAGACTCAAAAGAGCTAAAGAGTTGCTTCGCTTGGCCGAAAGTGGTGAACTGCCGAATTTGGTTTTCTCCGATGAGAAAACATTCGCTGCCCAGTTTGTAAATAAACAAAATGATGGTGTTTCCTTGCCAAAGAGGTAAGCTGAAAATGTACACCTTCGGTTGGCCACCAAAACTCAAGCGCCGGCCATGGTGATGTTGTGGGACGCCATAACAGCCGATGGTCGCTCCCCGCTCGTTTAAATCGACAGTGGCATTAGAATAAATGCCGAATATTATCTCCAAAATATTCTGGAGTGTGTATTAAAGCATTGGGCACGCAAACATTTTGGCCGCAGACCTTAGACATTCCAACAGGACTCAGCAAGCGCCATCCAAGATTGGTTACAAAATGAGGTTCCTAGCTTCAATTCCAGCGCACAATGGCCACCAAAATCTCCGGATACCAATCCGTTGGACTATTGTATGTCTGGATTATTTTGGAAAGCAAGGTTGGCACTAAAAAATACCAAAGTGTCGATTTCCTAAAGCAAGCGCTTCGTCGGGAATAGGCCAAAATTCCACAGAGCAACATTCGGGCAGCATGTGACGGTTTCATTGAATGCCATAATTCGTGCCAAAGGTGATCAATTCGAACAAATCTAAACTTATTCAAAATTTGATGCTGTTTTCAACATTTTGTGCTTCCATTCAATAAAATTAAAAAAAAAACTTTAAAACAGTTTTTTTTTATCTCACCCTGTATATTTACGTAATTTATCAAGAAAATACATGTAACAACATTGCACAAAAAAAATTAAAAAAAATACTCAAAAAAATTTTTTAATATTTTGATAGAGTTTTCCAGGTTATTTTTTTCAAGTTGGTGTATGAAAGTAGCATAAAATTTCGTTTTAGACCGAAAGTGTCAATAGGAGAAATATTCTACACAAATTTTCACTGCAAGTCTCGGAATAAACTATATATCTAGCTTTAGCAGTTTTTAAGAAAATTGCATTCGAAATTTATGTATGACAGGTAAAAATTATGTGTTGACGTGTTTTTTCCTCCTAATTCCACAATTTTTAATTCCAAGTCCAAATCTTCCTTTATACTTCATTTTTTGGAGAGGGTATCAAAGGAAGAAATATTCTAAATAAAATTTCATTATAAGTTTCCGAAAAAAGAATGGTGTATACTTAATATTTACCATGCCAATATATCATCAATTTTGGTTTATAAAAGCTGAACCCCTTTATGAAGCTTTTTTGTTTAATTTCGTCAAAGGTAGACCTTTTGAGTTCTTGCCAAAAAATTATCCATATATGTCCACGTTTTGGTACAGTCCTTATATAAGGATACCCCCTAATTTCAATTATTGCGAGGGGTTTGGTCCTATCCTCTATTCAAATAATAAAACAATTTTTGTTGTATTTCAGTTATCAATCGTTTTATTCGTAAATATCCAAATGTGTATCTCAACACCTCACTCCTTCCTTATTTCTTCAACAAACTATCCATGGCATTGTTGATGAATTCGCGCAAATTATAGACATCAGCATAGACACCAGGAGCACCGGAGGCGCAACCAGCACCAAAGGATACAATACCGCAAAGTTCTCCAAACAGAATAGCTGGGCCGCCAGAATCGCCTTGGCAAGAGTCCTTGCTGCCACCATTGGCACAGAACATGTAATTGGTAATGGGGATGCCATAGTAGCGTTGACACTGCTCCCTGGTGACAGTTGGAATACGAATGGTAAGCAAATCATGAGAACCAACACCCTCGAACGAGGTGTGACCCCAGCCGGAAATTTGCACCAAATCACCCTGCTCTGGTGGGGCAGAGCACAATGGCACAGTCCTAATATATTTACCCACCATTGGACTCTCCAGTTTCAGCACAGCAACATCGGTGTTCAGGGTTTGTTTGTTGTAGGTACCCTATTTGATCATGGACACAACACGGCGTTGAACACCTTCATCGGTTCTGGTATTGGCACCGCCAACAATCTTCAAATGAGCCATCAATTCGGGGGTAAGGGAATCGAAACAATGGGCAGCGGTGACCACAATTTCAGGATGAACCAAGGTACCACCGCAGAAGGGTTGAGTGCCAATTCTCAGCTGAACAATATAGGGAGCTTGACTGATATGGATGACATCGCCATCGACAATGCGGGTATCGTCGGGATGGGCACTGGTGCCGGCGAAGAGGAGTGTGGCCACAAGGCCCAAAGTCACCCAGAGTGGAGAGTTCATTGTATTCGAAGCTTGAGGAAAGTTTGGAATGCTGTTTAATGAAATTTCTGGCCAATTTATATGCTGTTCCCATAGGGGTCTCAGAAGTTAATTCTTTTGTTTTTTATTATTACTTTGGCATAGAACAGCTGTTATTTTAACTTTATTCAAAATTTGTTTTGTTTCTACCTCTTAGCTATGCATTATTATCGGAAAGTAAATACTGGATAAATAGTGTCCAAATAAGTAAAATTCTATTGTTCGCAGCACTTGGTGATATCATTATTTATAATTATCACGCATACCTCTCGAATGCGTGGGAAATGGCAAAATATGTTTGTGAATTTTGGGGATGGTCAAATATAATCGAAAATACGTAGAAATTGTTTTTTATTTGCCAATCAAGATAAACAGTTGAAGTTGCATGTCATTTATAGGATTAGCTAGTGACGTTACCTAAACAAACTTCAATTGGATGTTATAGGGACTTACCAATAAAAAATAATAATGGAAATATTTTTAATTGTTAACACTTACCTGAAATAAAAAGAAAATGTTTTAATTATTTTTTCTGTATGAAAATGCAAGAAGTATAGGTATAATTTACTGCTAGAAAATATAAGTCCTTTATAGGTTTAATTCTTACTAAGAATTAATAAAGTAGAGAGTATCTGTCATTGGGATATGAGCATTAGGAAGCTTCCCTTTTGTGGGCAAGGTAGCAGAAAGAGTGGACATACATATCTCTTCTTCACACAAGATCTATATTTCTTTTAAATCTGACTGACTATTAAATGGGAAGGAGAGGACCGACATATCACATTTACAACCAATACCTAATATGTTGGCTAGAATATTGTGAAGTTTTAAGTATGCAGAGAATCGGACACTGATTTCACATTTTAAGGGAGTACTTAATATTCAAGATTTTGAGCTTTCTTGAGCCTTGGAATGAGATTGATTCAAAAACAAGTTAAAAAGTATCAGTTGGTTTTGCCGACAGATGTATACCCTCAGTCAATGTTCGATTATTTAAATATATTTTGACTTCTGTTATGATTATACAAATTGTTGACCTTCTATGAAGTAGGTTCCGAAGGAATGTAAAAATATTGTCCATTTCGTAATGGACCTAAATTAATATGATAAAAACATTGGGATGTGCCAGATGTTCGATTATTCAAATTTATGTAGGCTCGTCTTATGATTTTTCATATTCTGGACCCTTATGGAGAAGGTTCCGAAGGAATGGGTCAATTTAATCCATTTCGTATCGCACCTAAATAAATATGATATAAATATTGCTACGTGCCAGGTTTGGACTATATCGACTACTCCCTTAACTTTATATGAGAATGTGATAATTTTTAGAAAATGTTAAAATGTGCGTGAGGTACCCAGATATAGTCGACCGAAGTATTCCATATTCAAAATTCATATAATACCGACAAAAATATTGGTATGGGCAAAATTACAAGAAAATCGAACATTTATATCCATTTTTTTGCGAATTCATAAATTCCATATTCATCTCTGGTTTTTGGTTAAGAGAGGTATATTTAGATATAGCAAGTTGTAAAGAATTGCTAACTTGTTTCGATTTTTCATAAACACATTATCTTCGCCTGAACAAGGCAATATTCAAACAAGTAAAAAAGCAGCAAACTCGACTGAGCCGAACTATTAACGCCCCCACCGTTTTGAAGGACCTGGAAAAATTTAAAAAAAAATCGTTGAAAAATACAAAAAAATACCAAAAATGCAAAGGAAATGCGTTATATGGGGGAGAGGACGTTTCAATTACGAAATTTGAAACAATTCTGGTTAATAATGCCCCTAAAATCATTAAAATGCCGAATATCGGGAGGTATCGATATATGGGGGCTACACGATATTGTGGAGCTGAATAACAATATAATGGACCAACTCTATTTCAGTAAAAACTCTTATATTTTTTCGAAATATTCTCCAAAGGAAGGCATTTTTACCCTGATTCCGAGAAACTATTTTTTTCTTTGGGACCCCAGATTTTTGACCCGAAAATTAGGGTTCAAAACCCGTGTTAATAGAAAATCGAACATTTAAATCCTATTTCATGTGAAATCATAAATTCCATATTCATCTCAGGTTTCTGGTTAAGAGAGGTATATTTAGATATAGTAAGTTGTAAAGAATCGCTGATTTGTTTCGCAAGTTATGACAGATAAAAGTATTGAAAATGTTGATCCTTTGTGAGTGAGGTATCAGAAGGGGTTCGCAGATATACATTATCTTCACAACAGATCTTGTGCTTGTAAAAATGTTTGTACAGGGTGAGATGAAAAAAAATTAACTGCAACCAACTTCAGACTGCTGTAATTTCTAAGCCACTCGTCCGACAGCTGTTAAAATTATTCCAGTGACAGCTCACTATATTGTTTACAAGCGTACAAAAGCATTTTTCTGAGAATTTTCCAGAAAAAAAGTTATTCGTGATGGAATTTAGGCGTGATAGTGTGATTTCTTTATATTTGGCTAGAAAACCACAAGTGGCTATCGTTAGAGCCCTCCAGCATTTAAATGTGAATAAATCTTTTGTGTCTCGTACCATCACTCGTAACCGTGATACTGATAGCGTAGCCCGACGTCAAGAAAGTGGACGAAAGAAAACAGCGACATCAGCAGAAATGGTTCGAAAAGTAAAGAAGCGAATTGATGGAAACCCGCGTCGCAGTGGCCGAAAAATGGATCGTGAGCTGCACATATCGCAATATTCCATTCGGCAAATATTGAAATGAATGAGCTCGGGCTAAAGCCGTTGAAATTCCAAAAAGTACAAGAACTTACAACGCAACAGAAAAAAAATAGACCCAAAAGAGCTGGAGACTTGCTTCGCTTGGCCGAAAGTGGTGTACTGCCGAATTTGGTTTTTTCCGATAAGAAAACATTCGTTGTCCGACAGTTTGTAAACAAACAAAATGATCATGTTTACTTGCCAAAGAGGTCAGCTGAAAATGTGCACCTTCGGTTGGCCACCAGAATTCAAGCGCCGGCCATAAAAATAATGTAAAAATTATGGCGTTTGACATTGTTGCAGTTTTTTTTTATCTCCCCCTGTATGTGTGGAATTTGGTGAGAGTTGTATGCTTATTTCGCTGTTTTCGAGCGTTTTGTTTTTCAAAATATTGAAACCTGTGTTTTATGAGCTTCATTGCTATTCAAAATTTTGATCCTTTGTGGGAGAGGTACCAGAAGGAGTGGACCGATATATCCCATTTTCACAGCAGGTCTTGTGTTCGTAGAAATAATGGCATGTGAGAAATATAATGAGAAACGAATGCTTATTTCGAATTTTATAATCATTTTGGTTCTTCAATACTTTGACCCTTTGTGGGGGAGGTAACAGAAGAAATGGTTCTCTCTCTACCACTATTATAAGTTATCTTGTGTTGATGGAAATATTGAGATGTACCAAGTCTGAATGGAATAGAATGTTAATTTCGCTTTTTATGATCTTCAGGGATATTCAAAATTTGGACCCTTTGTGGAGGAGGTACCAGAAGGAGTAGACCGATATATCCCATCTTCACAGCAGATCTTGTGTTAGTAGAAAAAATGGGATGTGTGAAATATGAAGAGAACCGGATGCTTATTTCGGATTTTATAATCGTTTTGTTTATTCAAAACTTTGACCCTTTTGTGGGGGATGAACCAGAAGGAGTGGTCCGATCCCTATCATCTTTTAAACAGATATTGTGTTGTTAGAGATATTGTGATATGCCAAGCCTGAATGGAATCGTATGTTAATTTCGTATTTTATGAGCATTATGAATATTCAAAATGTTGACCCTTTTGTGGGAAAGATGCGAGAAGGAGTGGACCGAAGTGGACCATCTTCACACCAGACCTTGTATTGGCAGAAATATTGAGAGATGCAAAAAAAAAAAAAAAAAAACAATCGGACTTTTTCGTTATATTTTATAAGTTTACATTTTACAAAATTTTGACTCTTTGAGGAGGAGGTACTTGATGGAGTGGACCGATATTTTCCATTTTCGCACCTGACCTAGCACTGATGCAAATATCGGATTATCTTTTCTCTTTCTGTGCAGTAAAAAAGAGACAAACGGACGGACATCGCTAGATCGATTTCAAATGTCCTGAAACGTATTTGGTCCAAAAAGACCTAGGGACTAAAACCGTTATTTCAATGAGGCACTTTTGCCCGTATCAAAGGAGATATACCCTCTCTAGCCATACTATGGCTGAGGGTATAAAAAATGTGAAAGAGAAGAGGATGTAAATCAAAATAACACCTCTTGTTAAAAACCCCTTTAGAAAATTCGGTGTAGAAGGAGGATATTCTTGTACACCAGGCGACAAATTTTGTAAGAGCCTTTTGTTAAATTTTTTTTTTTTTTTTATTTTATTATTTTTTATTTTATAATTCTGACTGCTATTTAAAAATAAGGTCAAGAGGTTATAACATGCACACATTTACAAAATGAAGAAGTAAAAAAGTAAGTTCGGCCGGGCCGAGCTTTGAACATGGATAGGCAACTTTGACATAAGCTCTTACCATATGCAAATACGAAACTTGAAAAAAATTATCATAATACCGAATATAGGGAGGTACCATTATATCGGGGCTGTACGAGAATCTGGATCTGCATAGACAATTTTTTTAAACAATTTCGTTGAAATATTGTATTTAAAATCGTCAAATACCGAATATATGGAGATACTGAAATATGAGGGTAAAGTGCTTAGAAAGCAATTCTAGTATGGAGTTTTAAACAATTCCATTCCAAAATGTAGCTTAAATCATCAATACACCGAATATAGGGAGGCACCATATATACAATACTCTTCCAGGGGGTAAAATACTCGGAAGGAACTCCTTTTGTGGGCTTTAAGACAATTCCATTGAAAAAATGTGGGTGAAATCATCTAAATAGCGAATGTCGGGTGGTAACGTTATATGTCGGCTATGCGATATCGTGGACCGATATAGTCAATCTTCGAACTTGACCTGCCTGCAGATAAAAGACTGATCTGTGTAAAATTATAGCTTATCTTAA